CATTTGTTTAACCAAAAGACAAAACACTACGGCTGTACACGCCACGTTTGAAATTTTGGCATTACTGCAAGACGACGGCCATGCGTGAGTGAAGAACGTTGTACAGGCTGATATCGATAAAGTCGTAAAACAGGCACTCACTCATAAGGTTGCTGGTTGTCACCAATGGCACTTAAAGTAGTCATGATCATAGGATGACCCTCGACGTAGACATCTTTAGAGAGCAAAATGAAATTAAGAAAACAACGAGGTGTGGTAATGTTGTTGATAGAGGATGATCAACAGTTGAATCAACAATTTTTACATAATCATCGCATGTGACAGTTTAAAAATCCAAGTTGACACCAAAGAAGAATTTTCTAAGGCATAAAAATAATCAACGCATCCGCATTTGGCTGCGGCTGTTCGTCTTCAGATACATATTACAGGAAAGAATCATGTAACCACGGGGGAGCGACAAAAAACCACCGTCTACTCGAAGACACTTTGGCAGCTAGAGGGCGTTCCTAAGACTACGTATGAAACGCGCCACATTGACTGCCTTCGCATATGTGCTCAAAGTCGAAGAGAATGAGAAAAAATCCTGCCTGACCGCGAATCTTACGGACTAATTTGTGTTAAAAATTCTGTCAGATTTTAAAAATGCCTTTAAACATGTTATTGCAGAAGTCTAAGGTACAAAATCAGTAAAACAGTGGGCATATAGTATGTGCCAATGCACATAGCAACACAGCAAAAATTGTGGAACAATTGTGCTACAACAGAAAATCGCAGAACTCGTCATGAACGTTGCAAACCAAAAACATTCTACTGCTTCGGTCTCACCGCTGGATGAGGAACGCTACATCATGTATTTGGTCATTATAATTCAATCTGTCTGAGGATATTAAATTCAGCCTGTGCATGTCAGCAACTTACAGGTTTGTCAATTAAAGAGTGAGATGGGACCGTTCAACCGTTCAATATAAGCATACAATATCTTCGTCCAAAACGTAACTGTCGCCAACATTGTTGGACTGCCCTCATCACTGATGTATTCCAACACCATAATGTTGCCCTGCTTGGCTATGTGACAAACTGATTAACACAGGTTCCTACTTACAATACCGGCAAAATAACTGCAAACACTCGCCAGAGCCCTTAGTTCACCGTTCACGTGACAGATCACAAATAGACCGAAAATAAGAAGAAACAGCCTGCGTGACTAAGCTCGTCGATTATGGCTGATACAACGATCATATTGCCGCCGATCACGCGCCTTGGCATTGCATTACATATGAAATTTTTATTTTAAAACTGAGTTTGAAAAATGGACGAACGATCTTCTCAGAAAAACTACAATATTCTGTCTTTGATGATATGCTAAACATGCT